AAATTATCTCATTTCATAATAATAAAATTACTAATAAACTAATAAAATTAATTAAATATTTTAGATGGCTTATCGCAACAAGTAACTCAGCGACAGGAATGCGACGTCTGTTTCCATGTTGGGACGAACCGGGAATGAAAGCTAAATTTACCATTGCTATAAAATATCCTGAACATTACAATGTTTTTTCAAATACACCTTCTCTTCGCTCATCGTTAACGGTGACAGAATTTGTTACAACTCCTGAAATCCCTACGTACCGTATAGCAATTTTGCTACTCGATAAAAATGATTATATTCATATTTCCCCTGTACAAAATCTTGATATATGGAGACGGAAATCAGTCGAAGTGCAATGGAATCAAATTTTAATATTAATTAAAGATGTCACAGTCGCAGTTGAATATACATGGCGACAATATGTTTCAGAAGAATCCTTAATGAGAAATAAATATGCGATCGCAGGTTTGACAGATGATAGCGTGGATAAATTGCATTTCGAACTTTACAGGTAGTATGTGCATTTAAAAAAATTAATTTCTATATTTCTACTTTTCTAAAACAGTTACAGAAATGAAAAGCGTTGTAAATATTATGTATAGTATAATGTTATTAGTAAAAAAAATGTTACATGATGAATATTTGTGACATGTATATAATAATATTGTTTTTACGTTGTTTACAGAGAAGAAGATATTATTTACAATGAAGAAATAGATCCTATCGCACGCAAAATTGAGTTATCACGTATAGTAGGACGTAAAGTTGTGGGTCAAGTGTTTGGTACTGCGGTTAGTCCATCATGGTGGTCTTACATGTGGCTAAACGAGGGTATTGCTACGTTGTTCGGCGTGTACATAATCAATCAGGTATTTCCTCATGTCTGTGATACTTTGAAAGAAAACTGAACATAAGTTCTATTTGAAATCATACGAAAAAAGAAAGCATATTTCGATCATTTTTAATGATATTTAGGTTAATCGTAATAAATTTTGTCGAATTCATGTGAAATCGTTTATAAAAT